GATCCCCTTACCGGTCATCTTTAAAAAAAAAAAAGAAACATGCCCGAGGCAATATGTGACACATTTTACACATATCAGAGTTGTTGAGGGGCTAAATGAGCACCTGGCACACAGTAGGCTATTTAAAATGGGGGTTATCAAACTGTCCTTAGCTGATATCCATCATTTAGAAGTAAAAAAGCCCTCAGTCTGACTGCAGCTCATCAAACACCCACAAACTAGCAAGCCTCCCCCTTTTAGGAATTCCCCAACAGTGCAGTCCAGTACAGCCAGATAATTAACAAGTGAAAATATATATTTGACTTGGTGGGTGAATGTTACTTCTGGAAGCCAAATGAGTAATCATTCAGATAATCCTCCATCGGAGGGTATTCACTTCTCATCTCCTGGATCATTCATCCATCCCCTGCAGGCAGAAAGCTGAATTACATGGTTTTCCAAATTTGCTGTGAAGTGTTTGTTACACTAAGGGAAAAAGAGTTGAGAGGTAACAGAATCCAACAAATGCATTGGGCTGGACAAAACTAAAGGAAAACTGAGTCCTGGGCTGCTGGATGAGTCTGACCAGATAGCTGTGCCTTACATCTGATGGTAATGACACTCCATAAGATTGGAATTCTTAGGAAGACGGAAGCTCATGTTCAACATCCAGTGCATAGTAAACAGTGCAAACCAACTCTTCAGCTAACTGGCCATTAAGACTGTTTCAGACAACCTGAAAGAAACCTCAAACTTCCTAGTAGGCACATAAGCAGATGTTTTCCGCCTTCTCATACACACTTTTTTCTTCTCAGTATTGCAATCGGTATCTACATTTATATTTGTTTCTAGGTCGAACCTGAGTACACAATGTCACCAACTAATTATGTTAGCACACACGCTTTAAATGCGCTTGCTGGGGCTGGCCGGTTAGCTCAGTTGGTTAGAGCACAGCCTTGTAACGCAGTCACGCATACAAAAGGGAATGGTCACAGCTGTGGTGGGAAGTAGACTTCTCAAAGATGTTGTTCTCTTTAACGATTGAAGTTTTCACTCTTTACAACAGAATTACATTTTTGCCATAGTCAGAAAGGGTTCATAGCAAAACCCAACAAAAAAGGCAGAAAAACTGAACCTATTTCTGGGACCAGGTGAAACCATAAAACTAGTTATGCACCAGAAAGCAGTAGTGATAGATTACCAAATGAATCCAGAAACATAATTGTTCAGGAACCCTGACACCCAAAAGACTC